GTTTAGTTGGCTCTAACCAACCTTCTACATTAGCCTCTTCTTTTTGAAGCAAAATGTTACCTCTTCAGCTTAAGTTATTTTAACCGGGTGGTACAACAAGGTTGGATGTTGGCAGCAAATTGAAATTTTTGCACTAACTTTATCTAATGGGTTCTTGGATAAAAATGAAGGTAAAGCTGAGTAAACATGCGAGTAATCTCTAGAATGTAGTTGTTCTCCGATAACTGGGTTGAATGCTTTTTAGAGCAGAAGTTCCGTAGCCTTTCTTTTTTCTTGGTCTTAAACCCTCATCTTTTAAATCCTCTCATAATCTAAAGCTCCTGAAACCGTTGAAGGTAGATTGGGTTGGAAGGTGGTAAAGGACTTTTTTCAGGCATAGCTTCTTTTTTAACTTCTTCTTCACGCTTCTTCAATTTTCTTTTTGCATTTTAGCAAGGTTTTGGCGGAAGTCACTTTGGGGCCACAACTCTATATTCCATGGTGTCAGAAAAGTTTTTTAAACAAATGTGGCCTTTGACCTAAAAGTATGTGACCCCTGTAACCTTGTTGAAGTATTGCTTTTAAACTATAAATTAACTCTCCCAATATTTTCTAGTTTTGTTTAAACAATAACTCACAGAGGACATTGATCATCTTCACTTCACATTGGTGTACCAATTGTTTTGAACCTAAACTTTTTCCCGTACCCGAACTGCATTTCCTAGAAAATTTATGGGGTAACAATAAACAAATATTATGTTGAACAACATAATAATCACCCTAACAAAAATTCAATTCATGAATTCATTAAATTTTTAACAATTAGCATACACGTTGCATCAACTCTCAAAATATACAACAATAATCGCATTCAATCCATAAATTTTTGAATAATTTAAATTACTATGCTCTTTAAGGTGTTTTAATTTGAATAATTTATTTATTTTTTGTTTAATCTATAAAGTTTATTTATTTATTTGTTTTAATAAGTAATTTGATAATTTTTAATAACAATATATATTATATCTATCTATATCAGTTCAAACTGATAACGTCTGTTTCAAGAGTGGTTATCCTAAATAGGTTTGATTTCAAAATCAAAACCTATTTGGATAAGGATTCAAAATCAAATTTAATGGTCATGCCACATGGACGCCCATTACTAACAAATATCTAAATTGAATTCTCAAAAGTTAAATAAGAATAAAATTTAATTCACTTACAGTGAGTTTGATTGGGGATTTGGAAAGGGATTTGAAGAAAAAGGAAAAATGTGTGTAAAATTATGTGAAATTTAAGTATATTTTATTCATATTTTACCTATTTTTTTCCTTTTCTTTTCTAATTTCTTCTCAAATTTCATAACCAAATACAGTGTTAGAGAATATATTTGTTATTGTGATTTGTGCGGTAACTAAAATACATTGTAATAATGAGAAATTTTTTTTTGTTGAATTGTTGCTTGCAATTAAGCCATGTCTTTATAAATGACCTCCTTTTTTTCGTTTTCTTTTTCTTTTTTCTCTTTTTTGGGACATTTGATAATATTGCCAATTAATTAATGCAGTTTTGATCAATGACGTAGTGAAATAGAACTAATCCATTTCTTGAAAAAGAGAAATTTACAAAGCAGGGAAATTTATAGACAAAATTACAGAAACATGTTCAAGAATAAGATAAAAACACATAAAATTATTTTTGTGAAAATAAACATGCCAGAGAAAATTGAAAGAAGAAAATTACATTAATCAAAAATCAGAGAAATTCAAATGCTAGAGAAATTTACAGATAAAATCACACAAACATGTTGAAGAATAAGTTCAAAATACACAGAAATAACTTTTTCCAAATTCAGGTAGCTTTTTATTATGAAATTGAAACCCTAATTTATGGAAGGTTATTATAAAATGCTATTAACTGTGTTTCCAGAGAAAATCTAGTTGTATTGTAGAAAAACTGACCAGAGTTAGGATGAAACTTGAATGACGAGCTGATATGGCCCGAGATGAAGATGCGACGTGACGGAGATGGACTGAGATGATGATGAGCAGTGAAAACGAAACTTTAACTTAGGTCAGAGAAATTTGTGAGGAAGGAATGAGAATGATTTTTGGAGAAGATAACGAAGCTCTAATGTCGATGGTACAGATGATGTTGAAACCCTAATTCTGCTGTTCTCCTGTTCATGAAGATGCTGGATGTTTGGAATGTAACTCAGATGTCGGAATGAGTTTGTTTCTGTGTTGATTTTGGCAAGGATATTTTGGTCCACAAAATAATTAAAAATGCACGCCAAGTTATTTCAGAGACGTAATGCATCATTATCTTTTTAGATATCTTTTATCCTCTAAATTATTATTATTAGGGACCTTAAAAAAAATTTCCCAATAAGTTACTAATTTTACTTAGGCCAAGTTTGGCATGACCTAAATAATACAAAAAGTCAAAAAGTTATTATCCTATTTAAGTCATATCATCTTATTTAAATCACATCACCTCTCTAACACATCACATCAAACCCAACCCATATAAACCAATAAGTTAAAAAGTGCACTTTTTTAAACATCCCAAACCAACCCTTAATTTGGGAAAAGCCCTGCGATTTGAATAACCTCTGCCCAGCCCTGCAAAAAGATGACCTATGTGTACACGTGTTGGTGTTCGTGTTGGTGGGCTTGGGTTCCGTCTGAGATATCGTAGACTAGTGTAAATGGGGGTTCTGACGACATGTGGCTGCCAACGAGTTTTGCAGCTCCCCAGCTCGCCGTTGTATTATTGTCGCTTGGTTCCTCTAATCGTGGCATCGTGCTGCAATAAATCATCACTCTGTTTCTCTTTCGGACACTATTATTCGTCTTCTTCCATTTACCGCTCGTTCTTTCCCATTCCCAGTAGTAGTAAGCTTGGAAATTGTGGATTTCACAGAAAAATTTCAAAATCCAGGCGTAGAGGTCGGGTCGGGCTTCCGGGTGACCTCCCTGAAGCTAAACAACAGTCTGAGACGGTCCTTCACAATGATGAGGAGGATGACAGCGGTAAACAACAACAACAACCACAACCACAACAACAAGAAGGGGGTAAAAGTGAATTCGGTAACGATAATCAGCCGAGAGTGGCAACTGTGATAGTAGGCGAAGCTTTTTCCCTAGGGAATTCAGCTATAATATCCGCCTGCTTTGTTGGTCTCCTCACTGGCATCAGTGTCGTGGTCTTCAATAACGCGGTGAGTCCATTACTATTTATTCCAATCTTATGTCAACAAAATTACACAACATCTTTGGTTTCTTTTAGCAAAACTCATCAATTTTGATGACAAACAAAAAAATAGTTTTAACAGGCTTATTACACCATTTCTATCTAATTCTCACAATTACTCACCTCCTCAATTATCCAAACAAGGGACGAGAGTTTAATGAAAGGGCCACCTTGCAACTTGATGGAAAGTGCAACGGGGTTGGTTGTTCCCACAGACGACGCCAATTGTACAGGGAGGAAATATTCGTCGCTCTCTATACTCTTTGTGTCCAAGCTTTGCTTCACTCCGGATAACCTGAGAACACAATGACGGTGAGCTATCCGGCGGGTGGTGGCCGGAATACCTCTCCGATGGTCAAGTTAGCACAGTTTTAGGGAGAGAAAACAAAAGAGAGAGCTCTGATAACTAAGATGTCTCAGTGTGTAAGGGTTCCAGACCTGTTGTATGGAGGTGCTGCACAATTTAAATAGCTTCTGTGCGTACCACTCTGCTTGTCGTTTTCTAGACACGTGGCTGTACTGCCCTCTCTGCTCCGTACACATGTACGCGTCAATACTGCGAAACAATATTTGGCCAAACTGCCAAACGGTATTGACGCGTAGCTTTAGTGGATTCCTCTCCTTGCATTCCGATTGGGCCATGTAGCAAATCCCTACCGAGTTACTTCCTGCAGGGTGCTACAGTCCGCCCTTTAGAACTGCATTACTCTTGACCAACTAAAATCTGAGGTGTATAGCCGACTTCTTCAGCCATACCCATTCGTCCCCGCTGACCTTTGTCGGCCTTGGTGTGCAATTGGTGCATCTAGTCCGGTCGGAAGCACCATCATTTCACCTAGCTCGGCAAAGGATCCACGCCAAACCAACTTCTAGACCTTGGTCTAACTCAGTCGAGTGATTCAGAACCTCGGCTAAACTGCCCTCGGTTATGCCAACTCGGTCGTGTAACCCAACGACAAGGCCTCAGCCACAACTAGCTCGGCCCGTTTGCTTGGTGCAAACTCCCCTATCATGGTGTTTGGTGTAAAGTGCAAGGTGCGGTGTAATTTACCCAAGCCCACAAGCCCTGGCCTTCTGTCTCTAGCCAATTTTCTCGATTTGAGCTATGCGATCAAAATCCCCCTTTGATTCTTCATTTTGTATAACCTCAGCTTCCAAAAGACATCCCTCACCTTCTTTAGCAGCAAAAGTCCTGATAGTTTTCAACTCCTCATGCCTAAGAACTAAGAAGCATAGACATGAGCCCATGACACAGCACAGACACCTGAAATCCAATTTTTAAAGAATGCAAGACAACACATGCAAATTTAAAACTTTTTATCTCTTTATTATTTGTCATATATTGGATTATTTCATTCAAAGATAATAAAAACAAGGCAACATGACACTAATTTCTAAAGTCTAATGAAGGAAGAGTTTTTAATTGGTATTAATCTACTTTGTTTTTCTTTTATGATTGGATCCTAAGTTATTCTCTTTAAACTTATAATGTGTTTCATGTATGTCTAAGTAATGGATACATGTATCCTCCAAGTGTCCAATGCATGTCTGAGTCTAAAATAATAATAATAATAATAATACACTTTTAGACAGTGTTTGACTATTGTTGGACACATGTTCAACTCAGACACATCACCTTCTCAGTGTGCTTTTTATTTTGATGCAATCATGTTGATGTGGGACTGACCAAAAGATGATGAGTAGGTTACTAATATAAAGTTATTAGTACTATTAGGAGTATTTTACTTAGGGATTAATACACTTTGCACCCTTGCACATACATCAAATTTCACTTGTTGAGTCAGAACAACAAATTTCACAAAATGTGAATTTTTATTAAAGTAAAAAAAACATTAGTACAAGAGAAGATAATATACTTGAGAAGAGTGTGAGAATAGTCTCACTCTCTCGTGACCTCTGCGTTGGCTCTCTCTCTCTGGTCTTCTCTTTCGGTTTTGCTCTCTCTACCTTCGGTTTTGTTCTCTATTTTGATTTCAGTCCACCTTGACCTCTCTGTCTCAACTTTGGATTATTACCCAGTCCACCTTGACCTCTCTATCTCAACTTTGGATTATTACAAGTTGACCCCTCAACTTTATTGGATTTTATCACTGTGCCCCATCAGTTTTTTGTCTTTTATTTCTGGTTCATTACAATGTCGGAAGATAAAATCCAAGCTATTAAATGCAAGCTTACAAGTGACAACTATGCTTATTGGTCTAGTGTTATGAGAAATTTTCTTCTCGGTCGAAAAAAATGGGGATATGTTTTTGGTTCTGTTCCTCGTCCATCGGATCCCAAACAAGAAGACTATCTGAGTTCCTGTGACACTTGGGATTGTGATAATGCTCAAGTTTTGATCTGGTTCCATAACTCTGTGGATGACCATATCAGGATGATGTTCTTTAAATATAGTACTGCCAAAGAGGTGTGGGATTACTTTCAAAGTGTTTATCAGTAGTCCAACTTCGCCAAACGGTATGAGTTGGAAACAGCTATTTAGGGAGCTCGTCAGTAGGATCTGTCTATTGAAGACTTCTACATTGAGATGACAGGCCTCTGGGATCAGCTGGCTCTCATAGAACCATCTAGCCTTAAGACACTTGACGCTTATATTGAGTTTCGGGAGCGAGGTCATTTAGTGCAATTCTTAACGGCTCTCTCCCCTCAGTATGAGGCTGTCCATAGTGGTATCCTTCATCGGTCTCCTCTCCCCTCTGTGGATGCTATTGTTCGTGAGCTCCTCTCCCAGGAAACTCGTCTTAAGACGGCCAGTCAGACTCTATCATCTGTCTTCTTGGCTCCTACTTCGTCTCCTCTGCTACCGAACCCCCCATCTCATAGCTTCAGGCCAATGCAAAGCCCAAGAAGGGGCCACTAGCCTCTGATGAGTGTGCTTTTTGCCATCAAAATGGCCATTGGAAGTACAACTGTCCCAAGAAGGGCCGTTAGTCTGCTCAGTCTTCTCAGACGCCTCAGCCACAGTCCCGAGGTCCTGCTCCGAGTACTTTTTGCCCTCCTGTTGCTTATACTGCCTCTACCCCGGCTTCTGATCCTGACTTGGTTTCCTTGAGTGCTTAAATTGCTCAGCATCAGCATGTCTGGTCCACCTCTTAGTCCTCTTCATCTGCCTCTGCTCTCACCTCTCCTCATTCAGGTTTGCTTGGATCCTCTTCAGGTATCCCTTCATCTGTGTGGCTTTTTGATTCTGGTGCCTCTCATCATATGACTCCTCACCTTTCCTTACTCCAAAACTGTATCCCCCCTCCCTTTTCTATTACTATCAATACTGCTAATGGGTCTGGTATGTCTGTCCTATCTATTGGATCGGTTTTACCCTCTGCTATGTCTGCTGTTACTATTCCCTCTGTTCTTTATGTTCCTCAACTGTTTGTTAGCTTGCTTTCTATCAGTCAGCTTGATGCTTCTGGTTTTGATGTTATCTTTTCTTCTTCTGTCTGTTGTGTACAGGATCGGGTATCCAAGAAGTAGATTGGGACCGACTGTAAAGTTGGAGATCTTTATGTGGTAGAAAGCCTGCATCTTCCTCAGTCTACCTCCCCCGTTGCACTTTCATCTTTTCAGTTAGATTCTTAATCGAGTCAGTTTTATTTATGGCATTCTCGCTTAGGTCATTTGTCTGTTGACCGCTTGCGGTCTTTAGCTCAGTCAGGATTGTTAGGTAAAGTTTCTTCTAGTCAAATTAATGAGTGTCGAGGGTGTAAACTTACTAAAATGACAGCTTTGCCCTTTAATACTCCTCACCTTTCCTTACTTCAGTTTTATTTATGGCATTCTCGCTTAGGTCATTTGTCTGTTGACCGCTTGCGGTCTTTAGCTCAGTCAGGATTGTTAGGTAAAGTTTCTCCTAGTCAAATTAATGAGTGTCGAGGGTGTAAACTTACTAAAATGACAGCTTTGCCCTTTAATAACAGTACTTCTATTTCTGCTTCCCCTTTTTCTCTTGTACATATTGATGTCTGGGGACCTTTTCCTGTTCTCACTAAAGGGGGTTCTGCGTATTATATGTCATTTGTTGATGATTGTACCCGTTATATCTAAGTTTATCTTATGGCTCATAAATTTGACTTCTACCAGATATATTGTACCTTTCAATCAATGATCACTACACAGTTTGGGGCCACAATTAAAATACTCCGGTCTGACTTGGGTGGGGAATAATTTAAAACTGAATTATGTGAGTATTTAACTAAATTGGGCACCATTCACCAAACCTCCTGTACTGATACACCTGCCCAAAATGGTCGTACTGAGTGTAAACACCGTTATCTCCTTGAGACAGCTTGATCTCTTCTTCTCCTTGCCACTGTTTCGGCACCATTTTGGGGTGAGGCAGTTCTTACAGCTGCTTTCCTCCTTAATCGCATGCCGACTCCTTTACTCGCCAGCCAATCCCCTTATGAGGCTCTGTATTCCCAACCTCCCAATTATCCCTCCTGCGTGTCTTTGGGTCTGCTTGTTTTGTCCTCCTTCCTCGTAAAAGATAGGACCAAACTTAGCGCCCGGTCTGTCTTGTGTGTCTTTTTGAGTTACAGTCTTACTTAGAAAGGCTACCGCTGCTATGATCCTGTCACTCGTCGCCTTTATGTCTCCTGTCATGTTGCCTTTCTTGAACGTTAGACTTACTTGCAGCTTCCCCCTCTCATTGCTCCAGTTTCCAAATAGGATTTGGTTCTCATTGATCCATTTCCTTCGGAGGTCTCGTCTGATGAATACATCTCCACTATTCCTCCTGAGCTTGTTCTGTCTTCTCCTCCTAATTCACCTCTAGTTGCTTCTCCTCCTTAGGCTTCTTCTCCTCCTCTATTATTAGTTTATTCTCGTCATAAGGTTTCTCCTCCACCGGTTGTCTCTACCCCTCCTGCTTCTGACGACACCGATCTTGCTGAACACCGATATCCTACTCGAGCGCATCATCCTTCAAACAGGTTGGGTTGGTCTAATACGTGTTTTTCTACTTCCTATCGTACTTTTTTGTCTGCTATTCACTCTTTTTCAGAATCTCAGTCTTACAAGGAGGCATGTCAGGATCCTCATTGGGTTCAAGCTATGGAGGATGAGTTGTCTGCTCTACAGAAAATTAGTACTTGGGAGTTGGTTTCGTTGCCTGCTGGTAAGAACTTGGTTGGTTACAAATGGGTCTACAAAGTCAAGACTCATTCTAATGGGTCTCTTGAGCGCTACAAAGCTCGTCTGGTTGGCAAAGGTTTTCTTTAGGAGTATGGTATTGATTATGAGGAGACATTTGCTCCTATTGCCAAGATGACTATTGTCTGTGCTTTGATCTCTGTCGCTGCTATTCGGTCTTGGCCTCTTTATCAGATGGATGTTAAGAATACTTTTCTTAATGGCCATCTCACTGAGGAGGTTTACATGCGTCCTTCCCCTGGCCTTCACCATTTCTCTGGCCAGGTTTGTCGTCTTTGGCGTGCTCTTTATGGTTTGAAGCAGTCTCCTCGTGCTTTGTATAATCGCTTTCAGACTGCTGTTACCGAGTTTGGGTTTCATCCTTCTGCTTCCGACTCTGCTTTATTTCTGAAGCATACATCGGCTGGTTTTGTTGCTCTCTTACTCTATGTGAATGATATGATCATCATTGGCTCTGACTCTTCTGCTATCTTTGAGGTCAAACAGCATCTCTTCCGCACCTTCGAAATGAAAGATCTGGGTCCATTACGGTATTTTCTTAGTATTGAGGTTGCTTTTTCTCCAAAGGGTATTTTCTGTCTTAGGCTAAGTATGCTAATGAAGTCATTCACCGTGCTGGTCTTACTGATACTAAGGTTTTTGATACACCTATTGAGCTTAATGTGAAGCTTAACTCTACTGATGGCATCCCTCTAGATGATCCCACTTTATATCGTGAGCTTGTGGACTGTTTAGTTTATCTGATTGTCACTCGCCCTGATCTTGCTTATGCTGTTCATGTGGTTAGCCAGTTCGTTTCTGCTCCTCGCTTTATCCATTGGGTTGCTTTAGTTCGCATTCTGCGCTATTTTAAGGGTACCATCTTTCAGGACTTACTGTTGTCCTCTACTTCCTCTTTGAACTTGGTGGCTTATGTTGACTTTGATTAGGCTGGTGATGTTACTGATCGCAAGTCTACGTCTGATTTCTGTATGTTTCTTGGTGATTCCTTGATCTTTTGGAAAAGTAAGAAACAATCAGTCGTTGCTCGTTCTACTACTGAAGCTGAGTATCGTGCTATGGCTCATGTCACTGCTGAAATTGTTTAGCTTCGTTGTCTCTTGTCTGATTTGGGTGTCTCTCAGTCTTCTCCGACCTCTCTCTATTGTGACAATCGCAGTGCTGCTCAGATTGCCCACAATACTGTCTTCCATGAGCGGACGAAACATATTGAGATTGATTGCCACTTTGTTCGCCAACATCTGTAGTCGGCCTCTATCTCGCTTCCTTTCATCTCTTCGGCTTTGCAACTTGCGGACTTCTTCACTAAGACTCACACTACCGCTCGGTTTCAGTTTCTTCTCAGCAAACTCTCAGTGTTTCTGCTAAAACATCTTGAGTTTGAATGGGAGTGTGAGAATAGATTGTGAATCTTACAAATTAGGCATGATTATGGTTGTACATATTAGAGTCTTATTAGAGGAGTGATTTTAGAGTTCTATTAGAGGCATGATTGTATTTTCCTTTTTGGTTTAGGAGTTAGGGATATATAATCTAAGGTCTGGTTGTAATCACATATACAATTGAATATACAGAAACACAGAAAGCTTACAAAGCGAACCCTCAATATTTTAGGACACCTCACTCACACAAAATTTTAGTGCACCCAAGAATACACCACTCAAGCTCACTTGTGACTTGTGTTGATTGCTTGATTACTACATTCCCAATGGAAGATCTGTAGTGTAAGTATATCTTCCACTAATCTTATTTTCAAGATTATGGACTGTATTACTTGCTGAATATTGATATTGTTTATGCTTTTAGGTGCATGAATTACGGGATTTCTTTTGGGGTGAGATCCCATATCGAGGTGCATCATGGTTGAGAGAGGAGCCCGTTGAAGTAATACTTCACTCTTTTTCAGAATTGTGGGGGTATAATTGTTGGCATGTTGAATGAGCTTCGAGGTACTCTAGAGGACCCTACAAAAATTACTTTTATGTCTGATGTAAAGGCTGCACTGGAACCAATTCTGAAAACATTGGCTGCACTTTTATGTCTGATGTAAAGGCTGCACTGGAACCAATTCTGAAAACATTGGCTGCATGTATTACCCTTGGGACGGGGAATTCACTAGGGCCGGAAGGTCCTAGTGTTGAGATTGGTGCATCCATTGCCAAGGGAGTTGGTACTTTGTTTGATAGAAGCGCTCAAAGGAAGCTTTCTCTTGTGGCAGCAGGCTCAGCTGCTGGAATCTCTTCTGGTTGTCATTTTCCCATTGCTATAGTTTGTGAAATTACATACATGCATATGATCCTTCATTAAATTCATTAACTTCTTAGAATCCCAGCTTTTTATTGTATAACGAAACTGTAAATGCAAGTTTTAAATCAGTTAATGAATTAAATATGTTAGCTTAAACTAGCTCTAGTACAAATATATTTCCACTTCCAGCCTTGTCCTTGTGCAGATGTAGAAATGTCTATGACATAACTAGCTACACTTGAGCGGACTGAGTTATTGCAGAATCTATTGATTTAGTTGCAAATGTTTAGATGATTAAGGATGTCATGCAATGTAGTACATACATAAATTTTGGGTTGCCAATGGGCAAAGTCATTTGTGAGTAGCATGGACTCTACTAAATAAAGGGCTTAGGCAAACTCATTTGTAAAATAAGTGAGACATGCCTAAGCCTATTTTTTAGCTTGTTTATTAAATCACCCAAGCTTGAGCAATGGTGTGTCCAACTCAAGTTGACTTGTGAACACAAAGCTAATAAGTTTCTTTTTAAAATAATTTGTAACTAGTTGTGGAAAGCTTTTACAATTTTATATGGTAGAAGTCTTCAAGGGCCTGTAGAAGGAAAAAAGTTTTAAAATTGGTTTGGTTTCGAAAGTGGAAGCTTGCTGAATGTTCTAAATAGAGGTCATATGCAGGCATAAACAGTAAGAATTTAGGGTTTTTGAAATGGTAGAGATGAACCTGATTGTGCCTAGAACGGATGAATAGGTTAAACTAACTACTAAGAAATATAACCAATTTAAAATTCGATTTTTAGGTCACCTTCATGTAGTGGATATCAATCATGCAACTAGATAACTAAGCATAAAAGCAATAGAATATGAGAGTGATGCAATTAAATGTGGAAAACCTTGAAGAAAACTATCTTCACAGAAAAACCGTGAGCATACCCAACCAAAACAAATCCAATACGATTAAGAAAGGAAAGTAGAGACTAAAGATAAGAGGACTTACAACTCAATCACTCTAGCAGTCTTTCACCAAGCTCCTCAATTGTGCTCCACTCCACATGGCTTTGACAACGCAAAAACTCTTGATTTCCTAGTGCTCCACAGAAGTCCTCACTCCAATCTCCACTTATTGCAGCTTCATTAGACGGCCTCCATTAAAATTCTCTTAAGATTTTTCTCACTAAAAAACTCTAATGCATTGTTTGAGAAAGGTAAGTTTCAATGAGTGCAATATTAATCCTAAAAGGATAAGGATTTTTTTGTGTAATATTTTTTAAAAAGAAATGAGTTTGCAATTTCACATGAATTTGCTCTGAAATTGTAAATTCGACTGCTAATCTGCCGCATAGGGCTTGACTCAATTTATTTCACACACAGATCATATTGAAGACTCTATTAAGCTTTGGTTGTCAAATCGCATGTATGCATATGATCCTTCATTAAATTAAGGATCTGTTCAGCTTTCGATACTAAATATACTGGTAAACATTTAATGTAGCACTGTTATTTGAATTGAGTGACGCATGAGTAACTTGAGTTTGGCTTGTGAAATGCTCATTTGAAACTCATGAGTAACTTGTGATGTAATTCAATAGAAGTGCAAGCCTAAATTTCAATCTTGGTTTCTTCACAAGTCGATTTTCAAACAATGTGCAATTTGTCTTGCGCGAGATCAGCCCATCTCATGTGTTCAAGAACACACTTAGATTCAACCATCAGTTAATGAAATATGTGTAGAATGACACTTGGTTTTATGTAAATAAGTCCAATTTTGAAGGGGAAAAGTTTTATTTTTAAAATTTTTTTCTGTAGAATCATTATTTATGTGCAAGTGATAACATTCATAGACAAGTCTTGTGAGCTTTAGCAAGTCAGGCGTGTGCTTTAACTCCATCTCCCATTTACCCAAACCACCCTCTAGCTTCAAAACCACTCAGCAAATACTAATATGATTTAGTTTCCATTGGGCATCAAGCCAATCTTGAAATACTTGATAATAAAGCAAGCCGAGCTCAAACAAATGTTCACTTTTGTCCTTGTGCTCTATCGAGGCCAAAGATCAACATAATCAAAGCTTGAACAAGTCATTACTTGGTTCAGCTTGACTACTTTTCACCCCTACTTTAATGTAAGTTTTAATTGGGTTATACGTTAAATTTGTGTATGAATTCTTGAGTCTTGACAATTAATCCAATTGTCCACGTGTCAAACAGTCACAATCATTTCATAGCGCATCTAGGGGAGCTTAATATAGTTTCTTCAGTTCATTCCTTAACAGTTTAAGCTTTTAGGCAATTGGTGACCTATTATAGTATGCTATTTTGTTTCCAAGTGGTATGGGTTTCAATACTTCCTTATATGCCTATTCTCCTATTATGTCTGTGAGTGTGCACTGTTCTGTGTGTTTATGTACTATTTTTGCTTTAGTTTGTGTTATTTATCTCACCATGTGCAATAGGAGGATGCCCATTGAGGATGCTAAACCTTGATATGTATTATTACTACTAATTCTTAATAACTCAAGCTTTTGGGCCGATTTTGATCCAAGCCACATCTTAGAAAGCTATTTTTTAAATATTTTGGTAAGTGCAGTCTTAGAACGCTATATTGGCTTTGTCTATGTTGAATGACCAACATACTCCCCAATGTATAGACCACCAAAAAAATATAGGAAACCGGCTGTACTAATGCCTATACTAATTAACCATAAGATAAGGCTCAACTGAGACTGGAAAACTTGGTTACACATGGTTCCAATTGTTCCATTTGAGTTTAGATTGACTAAACAGTTTGCAAACTTATTATTTCTTCAAATTTTCTTTTTTTCCCTCTTATTGCTTGTATCATAATGTCCCCCACTTCTACTCTAAATGTACCGTCATACAATATGCTTGCTTGGGCTAGGAGCAGGGCTCTCAGAGAGACGATGTGGCATGGTGGCTCGACAATGTGGGCAAGTTATGATGAGTAATTCAATTGCCAAATTTTGTGCCTGGTCCTTGAAGATTCGATGCTATTACACAGTCAGGTGGCACCCTTCTTCCTCTATCTTCTTGAGGAGGAAGAACAAACGTGCTTAACTACATAGGCCGCATGGTATTCATCACACAGGTTGTACCCCTGGAAGCCATTTGATTCATGGCCTCATTAAAAGAAACTTTACAACCCTGCTCCAACATTTAGGATGGATCCTTGAGTTCCGAACTTCACCCATGTTTCTGCATCTCACTTGCAAATTGCCTTATCTTTCCCTTGAGGGGACCCTTGGCAATCTCACCATCTTACAAAGCACCCTTCCTTTGACTCACCAATCCCCTTGAGGACCAAAATACTACAAAACATGGTTCCAATATGAATATGTTTCAAATTTCAGCTATTCTTGTGAAACCACAGAGATGTCTATAACTAACTACGCAATAGGCAATTCATTTATTGCCCTGATGCATCTCAAGCTTTTAGATTTAAATAGGGATTCATGCATCTAGAGTAAATAGATTTGGAGTTGCAGATGAACTGAGTCTTTTATGGGCATGTTGGGCTTGCTTAAAAAGCAATCATTCAAACTCATCCTTAAATAAGCCAGCCAATTCTCAACCTTAGCTTGAGAAATGTTATGATCAGCTCAAGGTGAAATTGAGAGAGAGCTGAATTGTCAACACAGCTTTGAATGAGTTTTATTACCTTTTTCTTTTTTTTTTCTCAAAAATATGGCGACGTGGTTAGTACTCAATTATGCATAAAGAAAGTATTCGCATATGAAAAAAAGTTATTGTTCACATTCATAATTTGTCCTATTTTTTTAGAACTATTTTTTGTTTCAAAAGTATGTCGATGTGGTTAGTACTCAATTATGCATAAAGAAAGTATTCAAATATGAAAAAGTTATTGTTCAATTTGATAATTTGTTCTCTTCTGTTGTTCCATGTAGTGCCCATGTGATTGGTACTCAATTACATGCCAAAAATATAATAAAATGTGAGAGAGGGGGGGGGGGGGGGGGGAATGTGGTTGGTCTCATCTAGTGTATTAATGGTGTGATAAGGTGTAACTGTGCATAATCGCAACTTGTTTATGTTGACATCATGCAATATTATGTTTCCTTTGCCTTTTGATGCATTTGTTCAGGCTTCCATACGAAAACTGTGTAACAGTATTGGACCAATGTGTGTCCCAAGCAAACATATGTAATGAACTCGTTGGAGCCGAGTTCAAATTAAATTTGTGTGGCTTGGTTAAAGCTAGAGCCACACTTGAAAATCCTTTTGTTCTTCAGGCAAGCTGAGCTTGATCTGCTTAAATACTTGAGACAGTTCATTGCATCATAGATTGATTATAGAAAAAATCTCACATTTTCTACTTCTGTTGGCTGCTTTCACATAAGAAAAGAAGCATGTAACCTCTTTGTTTCACATTCTATTTATCATCACAAACTTTGATTTTAATCTAAATATTAACCTAGCTATTTAGCAGTAATATTCTCATGTTACTCGTCACTACATACTATTACCATTTCTGGTGTTACTTTTTTTTTTGTTTTTGGTTTTTTGTTTTTTTTTTTTGAAGCAGGGTTCAATGCTGCTGTCGCTGGTTGCTTTTTTGCTGTAGAGTCAGTCTTGTGGCCATCACCAGCAGAATCATCCTCATCACTTACAAATGCAACTTCAATGGTCATACTCAGTGCAGTAATAGCATCTGTGGTGTCAGAAATTGGTCTTGGCTCTGAACCAGCCTTTACAGTACCGGAATATGATTTCCGTTCTCCAAGTGGTAAGAACCAAAAAATTGCTTCATTTCATTCCATCATCAAACTAAAAGGACCCATCTGCCATTGCAGCTTCTCTGTAATAAATGGTTAATGATGTTATATGATATATTTAACTGATATTTAATGTTAAAATAAATACATAAATGTCAAGATAAAAATTAAGGAAGATATTTCTTCCTCAAATGTAGCCTACCCAGAAGCTTCTGCAGTCAGTGCTAACCCAATCTACTTGTGCACAAATTAAAAGATCACATTTCTAACCTCTTTGTTATATTGTTGTTATTTTTCACTCGGGATTGAATTACATTTTTTAAGCTTTTGTTATGTGGATGATGTTTGTGGCACTGAAGCTTTTTAACTCATCTCAGAACTCCCACTGTATCTTTTGCTGGGTGTCCTCTGTGGCTTGGTTTCATTGATCTTATCTAGGTGCACATCATTTATGTTGGTAACTATTGACAATGTTCACAAGGTCAGTGGCATACCAAAGGGTATTTTCCCTATACTAGGCGGGTTAGCTGTTGGGCTGATAGCCTTGGCATATCCAGAAATTCTCTACTGGGGTTTTGAGAATGTTGACATTCTGCTAGAATCTCGGCCATCCGTGAAGGGCCTCTCTGCTGACCTATTGTTTCAGCTGGTGGCAGTCAAGATAGTTGCAACCTCTGTATGTAGAGCATCTGGATTAGTGGGAGGCTACTATGCCCCATCTCTCTTTATTGGTGCAGCAACAGGAATGGCATATGGGAAATTTGTTAGTTCAACAATTTCTCTATCCGATCCAATCTTTCATCTCTCCTTCTTGGAAGTTGCATCACCACAAGCATATGGCCTGGTATAGATCTATGCCACTATCATATGAGCAATATAATTTACTTTGAAAATTCTTATTTCAGACATACATCAGCACCATTTAGAAAGGGTAATCTGGATTTATTTCCTTTTTGCTATTCTCTATATCTATGGACCTTGAGATATATATGTAGTATGCTGTTTTCGCTTTTTATCTACTTTATTCTTGTTGTTTGGATATCTATAGTATTAGAATCACGACCCTAAAACTGGACAAAAATCATTGACATTCCCCAGCCTAGTGTATGTTGTTGTTCTCAGCAGATTATGTGGATGTACGATAATCAACTACAATTTAGCATATCTATTGCTGTTAGTTAGTTTGGAGAGTATATGGAATTAACTTATGTTGGTTTCACCTTGTCAAAAAGTTAGGAACTAGGTGCTAATGTATTCTAAAACTGAAAGGTACTATTGCAAAATTGGGCCAAAGGCTCCTATAGCACTTTGTTTAACTTGGGCCTATAGCTCTTAACCCATTATTGGTGCACCATGGAAGCAATAATGTATTGTCTGCCTTATATTAGTAGGCAAAACATGGTAAGAAAATATTACAACAATAACAACAGTCTAGATCCAGATACAAGAATTTTTAACATGGTTCCCACCAATAGGGTAACATCTACAAATAATGATAACAAACAAACTTTAGTAATAAAAACAAAGGCAATATCGAATCTCTTGTATGTGGATATGACATCCAAAACACATTAGAGTGTTTTATAAATTCTCACTCAAAAATGTGCTCCAATGAGTGGAGGGCCCCTTTTGGCCGTAGGTACAACCCAACTTCTACTAATAATCTCTTACAGAACTCTAAATTAAAATCCTTGTTGGACAAGGATTAGGGAATTCTTTTTCCTCAAGAAAACTTCACAAAAAGGGAACCCAATAGAACTAAGAAATTGAAACAAATTCCAACAATCTCCAACTTGGAACAAATTTCCTAATCTGCCAAGACATGTGATTTGAGGGCTCATAATTTCCACATAAATTAACATCGTCATTATCTCTGAAAACAATCTTGTGTAGCCTTATTAAATTGGCAATACCCAAATCTTGAATCCTGAGGCCAAAATCATTCTGTGTTAAATGTCTCTGCCTCAAACATAAAAAAATTTCTCCACCATCACTAAAACCCGGACCTTGTGATCTAAATACCATATGACCAAATGATTACTCTCATTGTTTTACTAATTAAATTGTTGCCTTTTACACCTCTTGTGGCGAAATTAGGCCCAAAACTTTTGTATATGTTGATTTACAGTAAGAGGAAAGACAAGAAGAAAAAGAGAAGATAAACAACAAACTAATGAAAGAGACCTACAAATAATGGTATTAGATCCAATAAAGACGTAATAATATTAGAGTGCATAGATACGCCTCGTGCTCCTAATAGCTAAATAAAGGTTCCAAACCTTGATTTCCTTATGTATGTAGGGCAAAGGTGCTGTAATGGATGTTGGTGGCTGGTATGATAATATAGTAGAACGCACCTCTTTTGCTGGATCCTACCTCTTCGGAGTCTGTAATATTGAGGCTTTAGGATTGGTAGGTTTTTTAAAGTATGTAGTGAGATTGGGTTCACCAATTCACGTCACTAGTAGTAGTTTTCGGCAAGGCACTCACCATCAAATGCCATTGGCCCTATTTGGTGCAGCTAATAGGTGCTGCCTATACTTTTTTTATTTTTGGAGTTTGTGCCAGTGTTTGAGACTGCTTTTGCTTACCGCTAATGAGGTAAAAATATCTTAAATAGGCTGATCAAAACAAATATATCTTAAATAGGCTGGAAAAAGCTTATTAGTGGGAAGTTGAGGGCAGAGTGCTTTTAACTTTTGTTTTTTTATTATCAGCTTTCAGCTTGCAAAAAGTTGCACCAAATGGGCCCATTATCGTCATAGTCGCAAGTCGCCTCCATCTAGTGTAAGTCACAATGCCATAGTTCTTCTGTCACCATCAAGTCATTAGTTGCCTCTCTCTTCCGGCATCACAAGTCATTATTGTGTGGCCTCAGATAAGTTCTAACCCCTTTCTCTCCCCCTTGTTGGACTTCATTGGGCCTTTCTCTCCCTCTTTTTGAACTTCAACGAATCTTTCTGCCTCTCTCATCGACCCTTTGTTACAATGTATCATTTGAACCACTGTATATGAATCAAAAAAAAAGGGAAGAACAGATTCAGCACAGTGCTCTTCGGATGTGAAAAGATAAAACACTAAGCACAATGCTGGTGAAGTTATATTTTGCCGATTATTTAAAAAATGGTTATTGATAGAGAAGAATGGTGAAATAGAATGTCTGGCAAACTGAAAACCATTGGGATGAGAAAAGTTTCAGTAGGGTGTATATGATGAACACCTTGAGAAAAACTTTCCAACAATGATATTGGATGTTAGCATGCTGTTAACTTCAAATTAGTTTTTACTCTTACATTTTTGCTAATAAGTAAATTTTTTGCAAACTTCAACTTCCATTATGGGCTTAAAATGATTCAGTTTGTATGTGCAGGTTGGAATGGCTGCTACTCTTGCAGGTGTGTGTCAGGTACCACTTACTGCAGTTTTGCTTCTCTTTGAACTTACTCAGGACTATCGAATAGTTCTACCACTTCTTGGAGCTGTGGGGTTGTCTTCATGGATTACCTCTGGGCATACAAGCAGAACAGAAAGGGACACTAAGAAACTTGAAGAGGGAAACGCTTATCCTACTATACAGCCTAAAATGTCTTCTTGCAACCTAAATGAACTTTCCGCAAAACCATCCTATGCTAATAATCTTTGTAAAATTGAAAGTTCTCTCTGTGTAGATGATTCTAATGATGCTACAGAGGAGTTAGAAAGGCGGATTCTTGTTTCACAAGCCATGAGGACAAGATATGTGACTGTCCTGTTGAGCACTTTGCTGACAGAAGCAGTAAATCTCATGCTTGAAGAGAAGCAGTCTTGTGCAATAATTGTTGACGATGACAATCTGTTGGTCGGTTTACTGACAATTCGAGACATTCAGGAGTTCAGCAAATCATCGAAAGCAAGACGCAGAAGACCTGAGGTATGACACCCTACTTATAAAGCTTATTGAAAATTAAGTTTTGAAAGCAGTTGTGCAAGGAAAATTGCATCCCAAATGGTTGAGAAAGAAAGAAAAAAAAAAAGATCTAGAGGTGGAGAAAGACCAGGCAAACCAGGAAGGAGGAGAAAACACAAGTGACTTTTGTATGTCATTATAATGGACTGTAGAAAGAACACGTTAAATAAGGAAGTAATTCCCAAGTGTCCGCTTGCTTTTTTTTCCTTCTTCTAGTAAGTGAGAAGGAATTGAATATAACAAATAAAAAGATATTTATAACCAATGAAGCCGAATTCACCATTAAACTAGGTCAATCCAAGTAAGCAGATCTCTAAATGATGTGTAGGCCCAACCAATATAGATCGAGTTATTTGCCAAAATGCACCAATAATGGTGATACTTTAGGTATTGTGCATGCATACTTTTCAAATAAATCGGTAGGTTCAAATTTAGAATATGGCCTTTAACCCTTGGACTATGAGAATATTAGGTTTATATATATATGGTAGTATATATATTTTGTATATATTAGGAATTGAGCATATAATTTTGTTTTCTTTTTTTAGTTCTAGAGTTTGGATTGTTATATATACTGATGTATTCTTGTATCTAAAACTTAATTGAATATACAAAAATCATTCAAAAATCTTACATGGTATCAGAGCCACTACCGGAACCCAGGAAGCTGTTTGCTATTTGCTAACTCTGAGTTGGCTCTGGTTCGTAGTTCTTTCCTCTGTTTTGTGACTGGTTCTCCCTCACGACTGGGTCTCTGTCGCCTTTGATTCGTGGTTCAGTGTGAGTCGTCTCTGGTGCATCTCTATGCATCGCTGGATCGTGGTTCTTCTCTCTGGTTTGTGTCTGGTTCTTCTCTGGGTCTTCTCTCGTGTGACTAGTTCTCACTACTGGTTCTTCTCTTTCCTTTGAATTTCGTCGACTTGGGTTTGTCAACTAGGTCTCATTGTTGATCCTTGTTCGTTGATCCTCTGGGTCGACTTCTGTGCTTCCACCTTTGGGTTGACTCTTTGGTTCTCTACGAGCATCGCGATCAAGCTCTATCTGATTCTCTGGTTTCTTCAGCTTCTCTCTCTCTTAGTGCTCTCTGACTTCTTTGATCTGAGGCTGGTTTCTTCTAGTTTACCCATTGATATTTGACTCGTGTTACTTACATCTTGGTGTATTACGTTTTGCCCCAACAGATTTCTGTTTATTACACTTGAACCCTAGTTAATTATTTTGGTCTATTTTGGGTTTATTACACTTCAACCCCTCATCTTTATTTGTTATGATGTCTTTGGCTTCTGATGAGTGTGCATTTTGCCATCAACAGGGCCATTGGAAGTACCACTGTCCTAAGAAGGGACGTTTGCTTGCCTCGTCTTTTCAGTAGTCTCAGAACCAATTCTGGACTCTTCTCGCTGCTTATATTGCATCTGTTTCGACTCTTGATCCTGACTTGGCTTCCTTGAGTGCTCAAATTAGTTAACTTTACCATATATTGTCTACCTCCAAACCATCCCCATATGCCTCTATTGTTTCCTCTCTTCATTCAGGTTTGCTTGGGTCTTCTTCAGGTATCTGTTCATCTGTCTGGATTTTTAACTTTGGTGCCTCTCATCATATGACTCCCCATCTCTCCTTACTTTAAAATTGTACTTTTCCTCTCTTTTCTATTATTGTTAATACTGCTAATAGGTTTGGTATGTTTGTTATATCTGTTGGGTCTGTCTTACCATCTGCTATGTCTGTTATTTCTATTCCATCTGTTCTTTATGTTGCTTAGTTATCTGCCAGTTTATTATCTATCAGTCAGCTTGGTGTCTCCGGTTTTAATATCTGTTTTGTGTAGGATCGGATGTCCAAACAGCAGATTGAGACTGGTCGTAGAGTTGGAGACCTCTATGTGGTAGAGAGCCTACATTTGCTTATGACTACCTCTCCAACTGTTTTTTTCTCCTTTCAGTTAGATTCTTTGTCAAATCCTTTCTATTTGTGACATTCCAGATTAGGGCATTTGTTTGCTGACCGCTTACGGTCTTTAGCTTAATCAGGTATATTGGGTAAAATTTCTCGTAGTCAACTTACCGAGTTTCGAGAGTGTAAACTTGCCAAAATGGCAGCCTTACCTTTCCGTAAAAGTACCTCTATATCTGATACTAGGGGTGGGCACGGGTCGGTTGCAGCCACGGAACTTTCAATCCGCCATCCGTCCGCCAAATTGGCGGATTGGAGAAAATCAATCTGCATCTGTCCGCCAATCCGGCGGATGTGGATTGAGCGGATTGGCGGTTTGGCAGATGGATGCGAATCGGTTTGGCGGTTTAAAATTTTATAAATTTTCAACATAATTCAACTTGTGCACTTTCTCAAAAAAAGAAGAAGAAAGTATTACAATCAATGACTTAAAAAAATATTACAATCACTGCATGCCTCATCCAAAGCAAGAAAGTTTGAAACTTTAGAATATCACAATCACTGCATGCCTCATCCATATACTACAATCACAGTATGTCTCATCCACATAAAATATTACAATTTGTGATTCTTAAAATGTAAAAACAATTCAAACCACCAAAACAATGAACAGAGCAGTAGTAGAGATTGTATGTCTCTGTATTGTTACATCTATATCTGTTTTTGAAAACAAAAACCAACCAGTATATATCATATTTATTATTTATTATTTTTAGAGATAGATTTAAAAATCAAAAAATATAGATAAATAATACGTTTATTTTTTTCAAATCAAAAAAGATATTCAAGTTGAAATTTTTTTTTTCAACAGAATATTTAAACTCTTTTTTAATTGAAAACACAAACAGAATATTTAAACAAACTAAAAACACAAAGTCTTATAAATTACTAGTGGTGCTCGCGGTTTGGCGGTTCGGTTGCGGCTAAAGGAATCTCAAATCCGCCATTCGTCCACTAGATTGGCAGATTAGAGAAAATCAATTTGCAACCGTCCGCTCGTCATCACGCATCCGTCCAAAATGCGGCGGATCGGTTCGGTCGGTTTTGATGGATCGGTATATCCGCTGCTCACCCCTATCTGATACACCGTTTTCTTTAGTTCAAACTGATGTCTGGGTTCCTTCTCCTGTTCTCACTAAAGGGAGTTTTGTATACTATGTTTCATTTGTTGATGACTGCACCTGTTATACTTGGATTTATCTTGTGACTCATAAGTCTGACTTTTACAAGATATACCGTACGTTTTAGTCTATGGTCACTACATAGTTTGGGTCTACTATTAAATTGTTATGGTCTGACTTGAGTGGGAAATACTTTAAAACTGAGTTCTGTGGATATTTGGCCAATTTAGGTACTATTCACCAAACTTCCTGTACTTATGCACCTGCCCAAAATGGTCGAGCTGAGCGTAAACACCGGTAACTCCTTGAGACAACTAGGTCTCTCCTTTTCTTTGCCTCCGTCCCGGCTCCGTTTTGGAGTGAGATAGTTCTTAGGCCAAGCTTGGCATACACAAAATAATCCATCTTTTTATCTTTTTTCCATTACATCACCTCTCTACTTTTCTGCACATCTTTTCGTAAAAAGACAAAAAGTGCACTTATTTAGGTCATCCCAAACAACCCTTTATTGTTGCTTTTCTTCTCAACTGTATGCCTACGGCCTTCTTTCTGGTCGGTCTTCTTATGAGGCTCTGTTTTCTCAACTTCCTAATTACTCCCTCCTTCGTGTGTTTGGCTCTGCTTGTTTTATCCTTTTATCCCGTAAAGATAGGACTAAACTTAATGCCCGGTCTGTCATATATGTCTTTTTGGATTACAGTCTCCCGCTATGTCATCTTTCTCGAATGTGTACCTTACTTTCAATTTCCTCTTCTTACAACCATAGTTTTCAAAGAAAATTTGGTTCATATTGATCCATTTCCTTCTGAGGTCCCACCTGATAAGTACATCTCCTTTATTCCCCATGAGCTTATTCCCTCTTCTCTTTGTACCACCCCTTCTACGGAGTCCCTTTCCACTGACTCCCATGAATCTGTTCCCTTCTTTCCTCCTCCTTCCCCGCCTGCTCTTGCTCTTGCTCTTGCTCTTGCTCTTGCTCTTTCTCTTTCTCTTTCTATTTCTCCGGTGTTAGTCTATTCTTGTTGCAAGGCCCACCAGTTGTGTCTGCCCCTGCTACTGATCCTCCTGCCTTTGACGACTCTGATCTTGTTGATCGTAAGTATCCCCTTCGCATCCGTAAACAAGTAGTCAAACTTAGTCTTGCTAAAACATGTTTTTCTCCTTTATACTGTACGTTTTTGTCTACTATTCACTCTTTTTCAGAATCTCAGTCTTACAAGGAGGCCTGTCAGGATCCTCATTGGATTCAATCTATAGAGGATGACTTGTCTGCTTTGCAGAAAATTAGTACTTGGGAATTGGTTCCTTTGCCTGCTGGTAAGAATCTGGTTGGTTGCAAATGGGTCTACAAAGTTAAGACTCATTTTGATGGTTCTCTTAAGCACTACAAGGCTCGCCTGGTTACCAAGGGTTTTTCACAGGAGTATGGTCTTGATTACGAGGAGACCTTTGCCCCTGTTGCCAAGGTGACTATTGTCCGTACTTTGATATATGTCGCTGCTGTTCGTCATTGGCCTCTTTATTAGATGGATGTTAAGAATGTTTTTCTTAATGGTCATCTTGCTGAGGAGGTTTACATGTGTCCTTTCTCTGGCCTTTACCATTTCTTTGGCTAGGTTTGTCATCTTCGGCGTACTCTATATAGTCTGAAGCAATTTTCTTGTGCTTGGTATGATCGTTTTCAGACTGCTGTTATTGAGTTTAGGTTTCATCCTTCTGTTCAGGACTCTGCTTTGTTTCTCCTCCACACCTTTACTGGTTTTGTTGCCTTGTTACTGTATGTGGATGATATGATTATTACTAGTTTTGATTCTTTTACTATCTCTGAGGTCAAGCAACATCTCTTTCACACCTTCGAAGTGAAGGATTTGGGCCTTTCTCGGTATTGAGGTGGCTTTTTCTCCTAAGGGCTACTTTTTGTCTCAGGCCAAGTATGCTAAAGAAGTTATTCACCGTGCTGGTCTTACTGACACTACGATTGCTGATACCCCCCATTGAGCTTAATGTGAAACTTAACATTACTGATGGTGTTCCTTTGCTTGATCCTACTTTATATCGAGAGCTCGTGAATTGCTTAGTCTATCTGACGGTTACTCGTCCTGATCTGGCCTATATTGTTCATGTGGTTAACCAATTTGTTTCTACTCCTCGCTCCACACATTGGGATGCATTGGTTTAGATTCTTCGCTATCTCCGAGGTACTATATTTCAGGGTTTACTATTGTCATCTACTTCCTTTCTAGACTTAGTGGCCTATACTGATTCTGATTGGACTGGTGATGTTACTGATCGTAAGTCCATGTCTGGTTTCTGTTTTTTTTTGGCGATTCCTTGATCTCTTGGAAAGCAAGAAACAAACTGCTGTTGTTCGCTTTACTGTCGAAGTTGAGTACCATGCTATGGCTCATGTTGCTGAGATTGTTTGGCTTTGTTGTCTCTTATCTGATTTGGGTGTCCGTCAGTCTTCTCCGACCTCCCTCTACTGTGACAACTGCAGTGCTATTTAGATTGCCCATAACACCGTCTTCCATGAGTAGACGAAGCACATTCAGATTGATCGTCACTTTGTCCGTCAACATCTGTAGTCTGGCTCTATCTCGCTTCCTTTCGTCTCTTCGATTCTGCAACTCGTTAACTTTTTTACCAAGACTTACATCATTGCTTGGTTTCAGTTTCTTCTTAGTAAACTCACAATGTTTTTCTGGTAACACACATTAAGTTTGAGCGGGGGTGTGAGAATATTAGGTTTATGTATATATGATAGTATATATATTCTGTATATATTAGGGAATGAGCATATAATTTTGTTTCTTTTTTTCAGTTCTGGGGTTTGGATTGTTATATATACTAATGTATTCTTGTATCTAAAACTTAATTGAATATACATAAATCATTCAGAAATCTTACATTCCTGAACTACTTGACTACTCTTTTTGGGCACCTTGGTTGTCCTTTCTGAGTTTTACTAGTTGGGTATTCTTCTTACAGGAGCTTTTGGTATCTGAAGTATGTTCTTTGAATGGTGAAAAATGCCGGGTATTGTGGACAATAACACCTGGTATGAATCTTTTTTCTGCTCAAATAATTATGAACAGACATGGTGTAAGCCAACTTCCAGTTATTTTGGAGCATGTTGAAGACCAAAGAGGCCTGCCTGTTGGACTTTTGGACAATGAATGCATCAGTCTAGCTTGCAGGTTTTGCTACCAACCTTTTGCTTTGCTTTAATTGCATTCTCATGAGAGTCCACATATGGTTAGTCTTTGATTGGCCTTTAACCCAATCCAACTTGGATGTGCCTAGGTTGGATTGGGTTAAAGGTCAGTCAAATTCTAACCATAAGAGCATAAAAATTGGAGAAAAAAAATCCATACAATGCTTACATTTGAGGTCTAAGTCAAGCTCTTGTTGGTCTGTGAGGGCTAGAATGGTGGGTTGTTTGAGTAGAAATGCCATAGATTTGGGCAAGTTAAAACGATCACCGATGAGGTTTGGCTATAATGCAGTCTCTACCACTTTGGTGTTGGAAATTGCACCATCTCCCCTATTTGAAAACTTGAGAATCATATTCCCCCTTGCCACGAAATAACTGTATAGTCAACAAAGTGATATTTGTGATGTCATGCTATAAATATTTTTGGGTGTCTATTTTACCCTTAATAAAAAGAAGTAATTATCATATGGGTGAAGTTTTGGCATGATTTGTGATGTGGTGCTCGAGTAACAATAATTTATAACCAATCGTTTCAAGTAACAACATTTGATTGACCAACATAACTCCACCAACCCCGGCACCACCATCACGAACAATCAATATCATTACTTAGTGCTAGATTTATCACTACCACAAACTCCAACACCACCAAACGACTTCCTCACCCCGTTGACTAGACCACCACAAAAACCACATCAATTAACAGCAAGTGACCACAACCACCACTATTTGTACAACAAATATTGTCACTGCCATTCTTTCTTGCAGCCATTTGTTTTTCTCTACCCACCCCACATCAACATAATCATCACTAGATGAAGAAAATGAGATATGGTGATTCCAGAATTCACCAAAGCAGGGAGGTTAAATCAATGGTTTTGTTGCGAACTAAGCTCTAACTGTGAGGTATTGATGTCACAGAGAAAGAGAAGGTAGAGAGAAAGTTGAAAGATACTGTTTCAATCAAATGTGCAAATGGTATGAGGAAACTTGGGTTCCAGGTGAAGGTTTGAGTTGATATTTGGCCTTTGGCCTTTGAAAGGGATTTTTAGGGCTTGCGTTTGTTGAGAATTAATTTGAAAGGGGTTTTGGAACCACTGGAAAGACCCGCCTTCATGATGATGATTCATCATGATGCTAGATTTGACACTTGATATTTCATTGGAGATGGACGAGAGAGGCTAGAGGGTAGAGATAAGCAAAACTGGTGTCGTTGTTTGTGAAGATTATGGTGGCTATAGAATTTGATGAACAAGGTGATGGTGTCTTCGTTGGTTTGGAACTTCAGATTTGGAGAGATGCATTGTTTGTCTTTGTTGTAACTTAACATAATATCTTTGCATTAAAATATGTTTTTAAAAGTTAGGGTAAATAGTCATTTAACAACCCCTATTAACTGTGTTGCTCGACAAACTCTGACAGGGAAGGTCTTCGTAATTTTCGATTCATAGAGGTAGTAAGTGTATTATGGCCAAACCTAAGTTGCAAAATAGACGTCAAATTGATAAAATGAATGATGGAGGCAAGTGGCAGCAGCCTCTTAAGGTGTACAAGAGACGAGGAAGATATGCCTCTAAGGCCCAAGCTTTGATTTGGCATGCATTGGATGATGAACAACTCATTTGGGATCGTGAATAGTTATGATTTAGGCTTATGAGTCATGTTCTATTATTATTATTTTATTTTAGAGTATTTTGGTAATTTCATAATTTCTAGACATGGGTTATACGCCCATGGGTTGTCTTGTGGGTCAAGTTATTTAATTAGCTTTTATTTATGTTTCTTATTTGATCTTAAATTAATTTTGGAAGTCTAAAATATTTTAGTAGTTTCCTTTTTGGTTTTAATTGGTTTAAGAGGTCTCTTAGTTCTATATAAAGTCATGTAATACTATTAATTTAATGGACTAGATATTTTAGAAAATTTTAGAGCTTTTAAAGCTTCTTTATGGATTGTGTGATACAATCAAACACTAGGTGTGATGCCTAAGGAATTCTATGAGTGATTCCTAAACTTATCTTCTTTTCGCCTTCATTCCCTTTTTTATTTTTCTGCACTTTAACGGCCAAAACATTGTTCACGGGTACTTTCACTGCCCCAGAACAGCTCTTATAGCGCTGTCCTACATCAATTTTGGTATCAGAGTGTGGATTCAAACATGTCTACACGATCGGGGAAACCTTTTAGAGGAAGATTGATTGAAAATTAGCGTGATGAGATCCTTACAAAAATTTTGGAGTAACTTGATCATTGTAATCTTTGTATTAGTGCTTTGGAAGGCCAACAACTCAAGCTAATGCCGCTACAACAACCGGAGAACAAGGAGAAAACTCTAAAATTAATAATCATGGTGAGAATGGTGAGAATCAAGGTGAATAAGAAGCAGACCAGCGGAGATCCTGTGCAAAGACAACAATTTAGGATTGCCCAAGGTCAAGGAGTGCCACAAAATTTTATGTTGGATTGGACCAAAGACTTGTTGGAGAGAGGTCACTATGAGCCACGTGACCCAGCTGGAGATATCACAAAAAAGGTTAAGATGGAGGTTCTAGATTTTGAAGGCAAGGTTGATCCTACAGTGTTCTCAGATTGGCTTGCTTCCATTGAGGAGTATTTTGAATGGTATGATATGACGGACAAACGAAGAGTGAGATTTGCTAAGATGAAACTTGTGGGATTGGCAAAAGTATGGTGGACTGGTGTTGAAGGAGATATCAGAAGAATGGGGCAACCACCAATAGGCACATGGCAAGAGATGAAAGCCAAGCTTCGAGAGAAATACATGCCATCGAATTATCATGAAAAGTTGTGTGACCAACTTGTTACTCTAAAACAGGGCAGCATATCAGTAGGAGCATGTATGCAGAGATTTGATGAACTTAAGACTAGAAGTCAAATTGTGGAAGATCCACGTTACACCCTTGCTCGATTTAAGTTTGGTTTGAGGACTGATATACAACGAGAATTGCTTCATCAACCCTTATACAGTATGGAGCATTCCAAGTGACACTTGAAATAGGAGAATACTTGAGTTACTCAATTACTAAGAAATTTGCGTTTCAAGCAGGGAAGATAACATTTAGAAGGTTTACTGATACAAATAGAAGCACAAAAACAGCACCTTTACAGCCACTAAATCGACCAAACATATCAAAGCCTCATCTTCTAGTGTTGTTGATCATAGAAATAAAGGTATTGTGACTGTGAAGCCAAGTGGGAGGGATAAAAGCACTACTTGTTTTAAGTGTGGTGAGCCTGGGCACATGGCTTATCAATGTTCAAAGAAGAATACCCTCCATATTGCAATCAAATAGGACATAGAGCAATTGCCAGAATATGGCCAATCACAGGAATATGTCAATGATGAGGATGACTTAGAAAATATGAGGAAGAAGAACTCAGAAAATATGAGGAAGAAGGAATATATTTCTATTATATTCAAAACTTCTTTTATTACAAGACCAAATGACACTCCTTATATAGGAGATGTTACAAACATCATTATAACCCATTATATGCCACTTACATATTATATATTACCACTATCTACCACTATCATATTATATACATGCCACTATCTACCACCAACACCACTATCATATTCTAGACATGCCACTATCTTATTATATACATTAACACAAATTTCCAGCACTCCCCCTCAAGCTGGTTTGAAGATCGATGATTCCCACAAGTAAATCAATCAATACGAATAAAAAACTAACGCGGAAAAATAAATAAAAAACAACACAAGAATTTTTACGTGGTTCCCTCAATATGAGGTACGTCCACGGGATCGAAATCTGATTCCACTATCAACCAAAGACTTTCCAAACAATTACAAACGAGACACGAATGGTCTCACAAAACCACCCTTAGGTGAATTCCAAATAATCACAAATAAAC